CCTCTGTACCAGGAAGTTAGTGAACAAGTGAGGAAGAGGCAGCTGGAAATAGTGAGACGGAGGAGGGAGGAAGCACATGGTGACCCTTCTTCCATTGCACACTCAGAGGTGACTGATGACGAAATGGAGGCAGTCCTGGAAGAGGCAGAAAGAAGCATCGCAGTCCTAAATTTGGACTTAGATCATGTTTTCCCCTCTTCCAGCATCTCACCTTCCTCTCCAGTCGCGTTGTCTTTCCGAGCCTTGTGGGACAAACTGGTGGGATGGTTAAAGTGGCTGCCCACTCTGGTGAGAAGGGAGGCCTTGCTTGGAGCTCTGGTCGGGCTCTTTGTTGGTGGGCCCGTTGGAGGCATGGTGGGTGCCACTGTGGGCTCAGTTGCTACAGAAGTGGGCAGGAGAAAAGCGCAGAAAGCAAAATAATGCTGATCATACGAGTGGACGCTGTGTCTTTTATGCCTTCGTTTGCACCTTAAAATCTCTTCACTGTGCTGCTAAGCTAACCAGCTCACATGACCTGCTGCTGTATGGAAACCAGCTTCTCATGACACACTCTATATGTCATTGCTTCTTTCCCGGTGAAAAAAAAAGGCAATTAATAAAAGCAGTTTGGTTTGCCCTGTTCGAGTTTCAAGCTCAGAGACCAAAAATGGAAACGTTTTTTTTTTTCTCTTGGGACCTCTCGAACTCCATCACAATGAATAACTGTGATTAAAATGTGATTATATCGTTGGCAGACAGCAATTTAATCGCTAAAGACAATTCGGAACGTGTCATCTGCGGTTTGAATCTCGCGTCCTCTAGCTTAGGGTATTTCCGGAGCTGTGACATCATCACAGAAGACAAAACAATTTAGTGGCTACTGTGGCATGCGGTCGTGTGTTCAGTGGCTCCGCACGCGCTTCAGCACTTCAACAAATGTTCATTCATTGCGTGGCAGTTGGTTGCACTAATGGTGAAGGAAGTGTCAATAGCTTCTTCAGCTTTCCAAAGGATAAAGAAATACGTGACCAGTGGCCGGGGAAGTCAATCAGCAGGGAGGAAAATGCGGTCACCGTGCAAGCTCCGTGCTGATCAATTTTGCTTTAGCAAACATTTGGCAGCGAGCATCGGGTACACGAGCGTACGGCGAGCCAGGCTTAAATAAAGCAGCCCCCCCTGCCAACGATTCTTCCTTCGGCAAACAGCGACAAACATTTGGCAGCGAGCATCGGGTATACGAGCGTACGGCGACCCAGGCTTAAATAAAGCAGCCCCCCTGCCAACGATTCTTCCTTCGGCAAACAGCGACTTCAAATAAGACAAAAAAAAAAAAAAACTCCCGTCGTGTAATATTTGCCGATTGTTTCTTCACGGTAAAGCCTTTCTTTTCATTTAATTGCATTCAACTTTGTTGAGCATTGTTAGCAAAGGAATTTGAATGAGTTAATTGACCGAATATCTTTTCAGACATGTTGGCAGATGAAAATGATTTTTTTTTTTACCCATTTTTAAACGTTATTTTTCCATAAACATTTTCTGAAAGGCTAATTAATCGCCATGACTTCTGAAAAACTTAACTACAAAGAAACAAAACGCCCGTCGTGCAATATTTGCCGATTGTTTCTACGCGGCGAAGACTTTTTATTCTTTTAATTTCATTCAAGTTTGTTGAGCATTGTTAGCAAAAGGATTTAACGGAGTTAATTTACCGAATATATTTTTAGACATGTTGGCAGATGAAAATGATTTATTTTTTTACCCATTTTTAAAAGTTGTTTTTCCATAAACATTTTTGAAAGGCTAATTAATCGCCATGACTTCTGAAAAACTAGTCTAATATTTACAATGCGCTCCGCTCTGAAACCTCCACGTGGTGGCGACATCCTCTTTTATAATGGCAAGAAAACGCTCACTGGCCAAAAATACAGTAGTAGTCGTGCGCAGTCTAATATAAAACTCAAACTCAAGATCTTTACAACGTAAATAAAGGGCTTTCCCCAGAGTCTAATATTTATAATGCGCTCCGCTCAGAAACCTCCACGTGGTGGCGACATCATCTTTTATAATGGCGAGAAAACGCTCACTGGCCAAAATAGTCGTCGTGCGCAGTCTAATATAAAACTCAAAACGCAAGATCTTTACAACGTAAATAAAGGGCTTTCCCCACGTAATTTGGATTGAAGCCTTTAGAGAAACAATGTGGTTATATTGTTGTATACTGAGAGTGGCATCTGTTTCTGATGCAGTATTTGTATTTGCCTATTTGCTTTAATAAGGTCAGCAGAACTTATTAGGAACACCCTCGCACTCTGGTGCACGTGTATGACCGTATGAATTACTCATTTATCCATTTTCAACAAAGCTTGTCCTCTTTAGGGTAGCGGATAAATTGGAGGGTGGGTTACATGAGACTGTTTGCCAACTATTAATATTTGTATTCTGTCTTGAAGGTCTCAGATCAGTTAAGATTGTTGTCACTTCATCCACAGAAGTTGAAAGTTATTTATTAAAGTTTTGCAGGACATCCATAGCACCTCAATTATATTCCTTTTTCTTTAATTTGTGAAGAAAAAAAAATACAAAATGAGTTCTTGCACTTTGAGCCATTTTAAAATATTGATGGAGAAAGGGAAGACTATTGTAACATTTGACAACATATCTGGTGCTCTCATTTTTGTGTCTCATCCTCTATTTGTCCAAATAATCCCCCTGGTTAATTTCAATGCATAGCGGCACGCTAGGAACAGATGTGACGTCAAGTCGTTGACTGGACCGTCACTTGCACCCACCGGTTGCTATTGAGTGATACACCAGACCGCTTGCCTCTAGATGTAAATCTGTCTGTTCATATTTTTTTTCTCGCTAAGTCACCCTAATAAGCCATCATAGAAAAAAAAAGAAAGGCCACTGCCTGGCAAGCCACACACTGAGCTGCCTGCTCTCCCATCTGACATTGAGACGTCCTGGAGTGCGTCCGGCCGATTTTACGGCATCCAGACTTGGCTCTATCTTTCTTTCATTCTGTCTTTGTGTCTTTCTTTCTGATTCTCTTATTTTCCTCTTTATAGTCTGTCTTTCTTTCTTGTTTTTATGGAAACAGAAAGGATGTAACCTGACCCACGTTACAGACAGGCTTCCGGCCTTCGCGTAGTACAAACAGTGTTACCCAAAACACGCCTGGATGCAGTTTTGCTTGCTAAACCATATCTAATGGTCCTTCTGACCAACACAAGTGCGCTTGAATGTTTGATTTATCGCTCAGCAGTTTTGTTCTGACCTTGAATCGAAATTTTGATGCGAGAGAGCCCACCGTAGCCCACAAGTGCTCAGTTTGCGAATGTCACATGACCAAGTGAGGCGTAATTGGTTGTCACCTGAGCAACTGTGAGGTCATTTTTAATTGTCAGCAAGTGGCAAACACCCCCCGCCGGCCCTCCCCTTGAGATGAAACAATTCATATTGCACGAACACAATATGAATCAGAATGCTGTGTTTAGACCACTGGGGGGCACATACAACATCAGGCTTTGGCCGACCAAAGTAAGAAGAATCACATATTTGAATCCCCCGATCGGTCAATGTTTGTTTTCAGGGAGAGGTGCTTCAAGGTCAAGATAATGCGACTTTTGGCTCGACCATGATCCATTCCAATAGTGTCAAGTCAAAGTGCGAGTGCCTCCCGTATAGTCTGCGACGCATGTTTACCGTTAGTAGGAAATCAGCGGAGGATGAAAAGTGTCTAAAGATGGCTGCGGCGTAGGGATTTATGCTCGATAATTTCCACCGAGAACTACTGATGCAATGGGAAGCGTCCCTGCCAGACGTTCCTCCTGACACAATAGCAGGTTCTGACTTCTACAATGATGTAATTGATACTCTGCTAAAACCATCAGCCGTGGCCCATCCTTACATCTCTCATTCCCGTTCGGTTGGAGGCTCTTCCTCGGGAACAGCTAGGCGTTTCCGAATGTGGGTGGTCCGGCCTTGTGGGAGGGAGGGAGCGAGGGAGAGTGAGGGAGAATTAGCCCTGCTCTCATGTTTCCCAAAGAGAGAGGGATGGAGGAGGGAGGGAAGAGAAAAAAAAAA